GGGAATGTTTATACCGTCACCGACTTGATCAAGTGCAGCAGAATGTACAGTAATACCGAAGAAGCGACATTAGTAAAGAATGAAAGCATTCAAAAATCGATGAGGCGATTACCGTATTTAATCGCGTAAGAGTCGCACATTTTTTGCCAATTTTTCATTGTGAAAGTCTTGGTGCGGGGAAATCTAGTACACAATATTGTGCACTTGGGCGATTTTATCCGTTTCAAAACGGGGGTGCCACTATTACGCGAGTAAATACGGTAATCGCAATAAATCGATCCGGGTTGGTATCCTTATGCAATGTTTTCAGACTTTCAAACTTGACTTTTCAATGATATTCTCTTATTTTCCTTAGTCATAACAAGATGCGATCAAATTTATATACACAATACATCTGACTTTTCTGAGACTTTTTTTTTCTAATACGATTTTCTCTTGTTTCCTTTCAGCGGCCAAGAAACGTACAATTGCATATGGTTGCAGAGGCGAGCACTCAATGTTATGGAATTTCAGCTAGGTAAGTCTGCAGTTAATTTTTTTAAAAAAACTTAGTTATTTTCATGGAATTGCATTCAAATACGTTATGACGATAATCTTTACATTAATATTTCCTTAGGTGTGGAACCCAGCAACTATTACTCCGAAAATCTTTGCCACGACAAACAGTTTCCTGGAGAGGTCTGGATAACGGAAGGAAGTGAGTAATAACACCTCTTTAAGCCGTATCAGCTCTTCAGTGCTTTAATTTTACATTTCCGTATTTTTATAGCAATTTCATAGGCAGTTTATTTACTAAAAACGTGTACTTATTTGTCACATTATTTTTCTTGCAGGAGTAAAGGCACCTCAAATATCACCGTGTCCAATTATGGGCGATTATACAGGAGAAGTGCCCGGGACCCACGGTTTGTGCGCAAAAGTTTCTTCAGATTGCAATAACCCAGATATAATGTTTTACACTGTAAGCAACTGTGAAGAACGTGGTCATGTATACGAAGGTAAGCCTTTATTTTTATTAACCATAGGATATTAGATTTAAAAACAATAACAAATGCAGTGGAACCTCGATATACGAGCATCTCTATATACGAGGATTCGAGATACGAGAAAAGTATGAGCGAAACATTTGTCTTTACGAGCATTGACTCGAGTAACGAGCAATGAGCCAAGCTGTGGGTACGCGCGGCGCTATTTCCGTATCCGGCTCGACTCGAGGAATGCTCTCGTCAGATCACTGAGTGTTTTTTGATCTACGTGTTTGTATGCTTGTGAGTGAATTGTTTTTTACATTTAACGTGAAAATAATTATTTCATGATGCCTCCCAAGAGGATTGTTGCCTCAGACAGTGCTGCAAATAAAAAGAAGAAATCCATGGCCGTTGAAATTAAGAAATAAATCATAGATAGTAGGAATTGGCGAAGACTTAAATTCGACACAGACGATCTGCACTATTCTGAAGAAGAAGTAAGAAACTTGATGTGGCCAAAGGAGTTACCATTACTTCCAAGTACCAAAGGAGTTACCGTTACTTCCAAGTACCAAAGGAGTTACCGCTACTTCCAAGCACGTCCAAAACGCCTAGAAGATGTTGAGAAGCTGTTGTTGGTGTGGATTAACGAGAAGCAGTTAAAAGGTGATTCGGTGTCGGCAGCTATCACAAAAGTAAACCACGGTTATATTATTTATCAGTGTTATTTATTAGAAAAATTGATTTTTATGTTGATATTTTTGGAGGTGTGGAACGGATGAACTGGATTTCCATTATTTTCAGTATGGAAGTTTGTTTCTAGGTACGAGAAATTCGCTATACGAGTTCAATGCTGGAACGAATTGAACTCGTTGAATTGATCTCGAGGTTCCACTGTACTAGATTTAAAAACAGGCTTAATAAATACTTTCTGATCGTCTGCACCCTCGGTTTCAGCATTCAATAGAATTGTCATATTTTAGCGTATTTTCGAGTATACACGCGACAACAGCAAACCATGTACACACGGGTTTGAATACCTAACCTATCTCGTTGAATAGGGTGGCAAACCAGAAAAGGGTTTTTGCAAATTTTGAATACTATAGCTGCACAGTACACACTGGCTATAAGAGTGCAAATATCAGCTATTTACAGCCATCCTTTAGTAACTTACATCTCATTATTCCGTTTGCTCCACATTTTGGTTGTAATACTTCCTTTATGTGCCGATATAATGATATAACAAATAAAATAACTGCTTGAAAGGAGCTATGAATAAAATAACCATGTTTCTGTTTTCTGCGAATAATGGTAAAAAAATTTACGCTGATACTAATAATAATAAAAAAAAAAAAAAAAAAAAAAATCTGAAATGTTTCAGATTTTAAATTACGTCCAAAGGGGCGTTTTTAACATTTTGTGTGTTACCTTTCTTTATTAAATATCATGTTCCTCGCACTTAAACCATAAGATCCAGTGCAACAGCAATATCGCAAAATAGTTTTAAAACGAGCATATCTTTAGAATTTCCGATACAGAGACTCACGCGCTGGAGATAAAATGTTTTTTCTGCACAACGTTGCCATTGCTCGCTTTGAAATCCTTGAGTTTGTTAATCAAAAATTCGTCAAAGTTTTAAAATAGGAAATCGATCATAAAACAATTTCAAATTTGGTCTTCCACATGCTCATTCGTTGGAGGATTACGTTATTCAAATTCGATGACTCTATGTACCGTTGTTTTATCACAATACGAGAAATATACACATTTGCAGATTTTCATTATTAATTTTCAAATATAATGCAGGACTCTAACATTTTGTGGCAACAGTTTGAAAAGTGAACCGAGATTTATGAGTCCGACGCAAAATGCCAAAACGAAACTAATAGTCCTTCGGGATTCAAATCCCTTTGGACTAAAAATATCTTCTAAATATAGTTTCTCATAGATCTTCTTTATCATGACGACACGGAAATTAAACAGTGCTGCCAGTTAAAGCTAATTAAATATTCACGTAGTTTGTTGAGACGATGACACTAACACAACCAATGGACACAAGAAAACAAATAAAATATATGAAATTACAATAGTGAATTATAGTGTTTAACTAGTTGAATTTGCAATTATATTAATTTTATTTCCCTGGAACCTTTATAGTTATATGACATGAGGTGTACATTCCCCATATAAAACCACAAACGCGAAGAAAACCTTGAGGAATTTGACCTCTTTAGAACATTAAAGGCACTACTACAAGCAATACAAGCAGAATGCATGTGTAATCTATACTTTTGGCACAGTTTTTCTGCTTTTGTTGTGATTTGATTCCCCCTGTTTTTTGACACCATGTTTTAGCTGTGCAGGAAAACAAAAAGTACAGTTCATATCAGGAAATCTGTGCGTCCGGCTTCGTGGGAGGTAATATCCGGCTTCTGGCAGGTCATGGCTTGTTGGCAATCAAAAGGCACTTTGGTATTTACGGTTGAGCTGCAGGTCAGTCATACATAGTCGATACATCCACTTGCAGATTAGCTATAAAAGTACTGTAGTTTTCATTTTCAAGCTATTGTTACTAAATATAAGCCTCTAAACATAATATGCTGCCAAGAATATTCAACAAATTGCTAACTAATGGCGTAGAATCCATGCAAAAATAAATTACGAGAATGTACTTATGAGAGTAACGACCAAAAGCTTTTTGAGTAATTGGAATACAGATTGTGCGAATGACTGCAAGAGCGAATTTGTTTTGACGGTAAAGAGACGAAATCGATAACTTTTATCAAAATGAAATCTCTATCTTTAGGAGTCTGAAGCATATTATTTATAAGTTATATGCATATTAGACTGAATATAATAACTGAAAATGTTCAGTAAAAGTACAGAACGCATAAGATGTAAAAGAAAACGCCGGATTATTAAATTACTGTTACTTAAAACGCATTACAGACTATGGCTATCAGTACTACTTCAAATCTTTTCAAAATAATTAATTAGATAAACAAATAAATTCAATATATGGGTGGATGGGTAAAAGATATAAATTTTCTTTCTGTTCTTGAAAACTTTCTGTATAAATGTATTGTCTCTCTGTAAATCCGAATCTGTATAGTAATTATAATATTCTTACTGGATGCGGATTTATTAAAGTATTTTTATAATTTGCTTAAGTATTTTGATCCTGAATTATTAATGCAAATCATTATTATGCTGCAGATCTAAATTACGATGGCTGTCACTTTTATAATGATAGCTATTTATTTACAAATGACATTCAACAGATATCTCTGTGAAACTTTTCTTCGAGGTAGTTAGTCATCGGCGTTGTGCTGTTGCCAGTGATGTGGAAGTCGTAGCATACTTTTAGTACTTGCTTTTTCTGTGGTATTTCGAATGATATGTCTGCTGAATAAAGAATCACTGAAACAAGAAGTTAATGCCACGGAATAATTCTTTCGTTAGGTACAAAGTTATATTTACGCACGCTTAATGCAGGGAATATGAACGATGAAGCAGCATAGGTTGAGCAGTCTGCCTCCGAGCATTTTCCTGTAAAACAATACAGCTGCTGTAAAAAAAGGCGCTGCTTCGTTTACAGTGCTGGTAGCAGATTGAGTTCCAATGAATGAACAACATGTTGTACTACATGTTGATACATTGTCTTTTAGAGAAAATAGTCCTTAGGTAAACGCCTTCATAGCCAGTCACGAGAACCACCATTACGTCTTTCAAAAAGACCGTTTCCACGGCTGAAATTATGATGACCTATGATGATCTGCATTTCATGGTGAAATGTAATGATTTCACTTGTTCGAATGAAATTCATACCTAGCCTGTCTCATCCAGCATAGTGATCAGTACAGTCAAAAGTCGTTAATCCGGACTCGTCGGGACTTCGGCGATTCCGGATTATCTATTTTTCCGGATTATAGATCATCAGTTTAAATCTGGTAAGATGGCATGCAGAAATTATAAAATTAAAAATACGAAACCGTAATTTATGAAATAAAGAACAATTATGATCTAAAGGGTATCAAAATTTACAAAAAAAAGCTTAATATTTATTTGTTTACTTTATTAAACATTTCTTAAATTGCTTCGTTTTTTATGTGATACTACTTTCTCTTTAATTCTATAAACAGACATAATTTCATAATGATAGACATAATCGAAAGTTCAAGCTTACCTTTATAAAATTGTTCTAACAGTCTGCAAAAAATAATAAGCCGAATCCAATTCGAAGATTAAGGAACAACGCAATCTGCAACATTAACTGAAGTAGATAATTAGATAATTTTAGCTTATACCGTCCGTTATACATTAAACGCGCATGCGTAAACGTATTATGCGCAGCCGTAAAGGTCTTACGCGCATGCGTAAACGCTTATGCGCATGTGTCAACGTGACGCATGCGCAGAAAGTTTGTAGCTTTGAGGTCCGGATTATAGATCAATCCGGATTATGAGGGGGCGAATTAACGACTTTTGACTGTATATGAAAGCCTCTCCTTCGCGATCCTAGCGCACCAAGTAGGTCTGAAATGCGTCTTATCGTGGCAATTTGCGCATTACAAAAAGCCGTTATTTTCCACATTTCTGCATTTCCAAGAACTTCGCTGTTTGTGTTTCGAATATGTTGTGGCTACACAGTTTTAGACCGCTAATTCATATGAGACTTTATTCTTTTCTTCACCGCACATGCAGATAGAATTTGAGGAAATAATTTAAATATTATGAGGTAGGTTAGGTATCGAACTGGCATGTGGTATAAATGAAAAGCACTGGTTATTTTTCGTAGCGTATATGCATTAGTGTTGTCAGGGTTAAAGTTTCACTCCATCTATATCTGCAATTATTCTACAGTAAAATCAAGTGAATTCTGAAGTATTTATTTTAAGAATGTATATTCTGAATCTGTATCACATGTTTACGAAGTTTCATAAATAATATGCAAATTTTTGAAAACTCGCTATTTTTTAAATAGTAATTAGCGGTTAAATTAAATTTTGTATTCACTAATTTGATAATAAA